GAGACATATTGGCCTGTTGAGGGCTGAGAAGGAAGAAGAAAGAGAAATTTAAATATTGTCGAAGAATGAACAATGTTGTCATCTCTCCAGTCTTATCTGTATAGTATATTTTTGGTGGTCTGCTGGGTCACTATCAGTCTAACCCTTCTTTCCTTCAAATGACAAGTTAGTTAACTACGCTGAAAAAGTCTATCCACTTCATCCTATGAGTGTTGCAGGAGGCCTTTTGACAAACTCTGAGGTCCAGGAATTACTCAAGCAGTCCCTGAAAGTGCTCAGTAACATGTCCACAGGGTGTCAGTTCTGTTTCTTTAAACCAGCACAGTCGGACCTGCAGTTAAATGGCCCACAATCAAAATTCCAATTGGCATCTTATAGATCCATGATGTTACATACAAGAACAAGGCAGGGGTTCACATTTGTTCTATCAGAGCATAATTTAAGCTCCCAAACCTTATCTTATGCATTCTAACACAAGTAAATCATGTTTCTTAAGTGTTTTTTAGGTCTACTGTAGCTTTACAAAACATTTAGTGATACTCAGTTTTTGCATAAGTACTGTACCTGCTCAGTAGGTTCTTTACCAGTGTCTCCCTTTTGCTGTGGTTAAATCATGCTTTCAAAAGCCAGTTAACATAACGGCATGTTTTTGGATTATGGGAAGAAACAAAAGCACATGGAAGAAAGCTATGTGAACAATGGCAGAATGTACATACTCCACACAGATATCAGCCCAGATCCACTTTGCCACTGTGATGTATTATTATTAGTAGTATTAATATTAGTATTTGCTGAGGATCATTGACCGCAACTGTACAGCAGGTAATGAAGAATTCTGAAGGGCAGCCTTAAATTTGTCTTTGAGATGGTAAAGTGCTCTTTGAGTAAGTTATTTTGCACAAAGGTTAAAAGAATGGGCATGCTTTCTACAGTGTGTGCCCACAAAACAGTTTTGTATCATTATTAAACAAGAATCAGTATAGGGACTGCACAATTAATAATAATGAATATAATCTTTATGGGAATGAATCTCTATTATATACTTAATACCCTTGGTTTGTCATCAGCTAATTGATTTTCTTCATATTAAAACAGCTCATGTTGACGTACTGAAAAAGAGAGCGCTTTGGAACAGGGGGAGGGGGTTGAGATGGGTAGTGTTATAATTGTATTCAAATTTTTTAAAAGCTTTTTAAATAATACTGTCAGCCCGTAGCTCTGCCTGTGCTGTGATGGACATATTTTCAAAGTATGACTGACTGATGGACAGATCTGGGAATTGCTATATTAATGGCTACATCTCACGGTTTTGGCAGTGCTGCTCACTAATTACATTGGCAGGACCATTTGAGGAGTTCTTGGAAAGGGCCCAATAGGGCCATCAGTAGACTCCGTAGAATTTTTCACAATGCAGTCACCCTGATTTACTGTTGACTTCCACAGGAACACGAGCTGAACTAAGACAGAATGCTCCTGTATCAAAGGTGGAATGGCTGAATTATAAAACTTAAAGTGTATTAAAGCACAAAAATGCATTTTTCTTTTGGATCTTTTTATAAGCAATAATGTAATTTATACATCCCATACAGCAACCCTTTCCTGAGCCCTTATATGACAGCTCTAGTCTTTTTTGTGTGACAGCAGTCTTAAGTGACCTGAAGCCTTGTGTTTCTACGGTGACAGGTCACAGTACGTGAGGTTGGCACCTAATATTTTTTTACTAAGAAGAAAACAACATAAAATTGTATGGCATCAGACAAATCTTTTGAATAATATTTTGATATTTCAGAATGCTTTGTTTTGGGGGTTTAACAGGGGGCACCTGTTTATCATTTAACAAAATATAATTGAAATTTCAAGAGAACATGCCAGGAGGACATTGAAACTTCAACATCTGACGTCTTCAGTTTGGTAGCTGATTCCACTGTCCATCTGTTAGGGGTGGTGCTGTGGTGCAGTGTGGGACGCCTGACTTGGTTGGGGAGCTTTTTTCAGTTGATTTCCATTCTTGATTAGGAGAGCTGTAATTTCAAACACTGGTAAACTGATGCTGTGTGAATGAGAAACTGAATGAGAAAAAGACAAATGACAAAAAGAACCAACGTACTGTAAACACAAAGCTTCCTTGATCAATGCCTTCCTAGTCAAAGGCAATATACAGTCTTTCTTTAAAAAATAAAAACTTAACTTAATATCTTAAAATCAATGTATTTATGATAAAGTTCATGTGACAATAATTTCACTGTTAAAAAAACTGAATGCATTGGAACACTGTCCTGGCTTTTTAAGTTGTCTCTTTTGGTATTTGAAGTTAGTTTGATCTTAAGCAGCAGTTCGGTTTTATTATTCACTCTGTTAAGTATTGCAAATCTTTGTTTACTTTTTCCTATTCCATTTTTGTAGGAAAGGTAGTATTTGAATATTAACAAATCATTGAAACTGATGGACTACGGGTAAAAATGAGTAGGTACACAGTATACGCATACAGTACTATTAAAATAAAATAAGAAACTGAGATGTATGTAATGATAAAAGATATATATATAGAACAACCCTAAGTTCAATCCTAGTATTAGGAGGAGGAGTAAAGGCTGAGTCTTGTTAAACTAAAACTGGACCCTAAAGTTGGTCCTCACTCTCAAAAGTTCTTGACCAATTTCCTGTAAACTTTAAAAACTCCTGGTCTTTCAGGATTCCAGTGAGTGTCACAAAGGGGGCACATGCCTGTCATTTCTCATCTGTAAGGCTTTTCAGACACTAGCTTTTCCCAACTGGTTAGCCTTGGAGTCCAATTCAGATTGTGGGTGTCCCAAAATGTTTGACACTGTCTTGGTATTTCTTGTGGTGTCCTGGTGAAGGCTGAAAAGGCAGGTTCATTAGACTCAGAATTGATGTCTGGAAATGCTGCATTTTGTAACACTCTTTATATATTTCATGTTCAGGACAAAATGAAGATAAAAGAAGTTCAAGTAGGTAGCTGCGTCAGCATGCGTAGTAACAAGTTAAAGGTTTATTGATGAAAAGAGAAGAAAGGAAACACAACGTGCCCGGGTGCTCACCCCCGAAAAAGGCTCCACAGCCAAAATGTTGCGTTTCCTTTCTTCTCTTTTCAGTATGAAGTTAAAAGAGGATACGCTAAATACAGCTATGCACCTATATCTCCAAGGTCCTCAGAACTCCATAAACAGTTCCTTTCTGAACATCCTGAAAGGATAAAATTAAGAGTGCAATCCTGCATGCCCATGTGCCTATAAATATAAGTATACACACCCACACAAGAGGAAAAACTATGCGCAGCATAACTGCTGACAGACAAAAGACATTTGGTATCTCTGAAGGAAGAGAAGGATGAGACAATCACAGATAGAAGTTACTAGTAAAAGTATTGTATTTGTAGATGGATCGGCCAGTGTTTATTTCCATAATGAATGGTGCTGCCTGAAATTCTAATGTGGAACAATTATGGACAGCACACCCCAAACACGATGCAGTTCATAGTGATCTAATGACTCCAGTGTCACTTAGGAAGCTAATTACTCAGACTAGCTCTGTTGCACGGTCATTGCATGCTGTTTCTCGTCATTATGCACTGCTCGCTGCTAACATGCTCCTCAGCTAACAATAGCCCAGCTCGATAACACGATGGGGCTGTGCTTAGCCTCAGGTGTTAGCTAAACCATTAGTTTAGTTGTATTTTTGTCTCATTGAAATTGCTCCCTGATGAAATTGTTGGGATCCTACAGAGGAAGAATTTAATTCATATTATTATTAAAAGAATCAGTCATAGCAATCTGTTGCAAAAACACCATCTGTTATTTCACTCGAAGGACTTCGGTTGCTTATTAAGCAGAATTATACAAATTATTTTGATTCATTTTTGCATTTCAACTTAACCCTTTTTATGACTCCACACAGCAGGGCTATCTTTTTATTTTAGTCAATAATCGTGCCTGAACATCATTAAATCAAATGAGTTTAGCTATTAACTCTTTCAGCTTCTTCCTGATTAGAATGTACAATATGAAGAAGTTGATCGTTGAAGAGTGTTATATTTTGTGAGATCCCAAGCATCACTGAGCCTAGAGACTCTGATGGTTGTTAGCAGTGACTTTCCTCCAAGGTCTTCAGACTGGGGACCTCTGACCTCTTGGAATCCTCAAAAGGAGAGTAACACTGAAAGATCGGGTAATTCTTACCAGAGACACTGAGTAAAATCATCAGCCAATCAAAACAGCAGCTAAACAGTCAAAAGTTCAGATCATCAATGAAAAGTAAAAAGAAAGGAGGTAAAGAATATAAAAGTCTTGTTTTGGGGTTCTTATTCTGGCATATATTTAAAAGTATTTTTACATAACCCAGTGTTTTGGGTTCTATTAGTTTCAGGTGATGATTTTGACCGGAACATAATATAGCCAACTAATTCACTACAGTACTGCTTTATGTTTCTCTTCTGTTTTTCTGTGAAGGCTCCTATTGAAAATATTGAAAAATGTTACATTATTCATCATATTCCAATTCATTTCACATCTGTTCTTGGTACCAGTCAAAACAAAGTGACGCTGTGCTCACTGAGAGTTGCATTTGAGAGACTTTCCTACTGCTTAACTTTGGGTTTGGGAATGAAATAACAAATAAGTTATCCTGAGAAACCAGTCTATTTAATGTGGGAAAATGGTGATAATTCTAGTTTGTAAGCTGTAAAAATGTTTACAAATAACATATAAATGTTATAACCTAAACATCTAAAATAAAAACAAATATACGCTATTCAATATAATATCTGCTAAAAAAAGCTTTAAAAGGGCTCTGTGAAAAGAATAAACACACTAGGAATGATTTATTTAAATAAGATCTAAGTACTGACACAATACATTTTCTAGGATATGTTGGGTTATTACACATATTTTAGTCCGTATAGATATGGTTAATCGACAGTTTAGTCCAGGACTGGACTGTGGATACCAGGAGTGGCCTCCTGATGTGCTGTCCTGTCTCTCCAGGCGGGAGTGAGTCCTCCTGGGATAAAGAAAAACTACAGTCCCCCTCTGCTGCCGGGGCTCAGCATGGGATGAGTCACGCAGTCCTGTCTGGGCAGCACAACCTGGGCACTGCACACCCCCTCAGCTCCCTGCAACAGAACCATCTGCTAGCCAACAGTAAGTGCAGGCCTGCGTTCCTATTTCTTCTTCTCAAATTTGAGCCCAGTTCATATGATTGTCAGCCATCATCATCAGCGGAAAACAGTGCTCCCTTTAAGCTTCTGACCGTTTTGCTTCGTTTAATCTTCACAGACTGTGACCTGGCTTGCCCTGGTGTTGTGGCACCGAAATAGTTCATAGCAGTTTTGCTTCTTAAAGAGGAAAATATCTTTTCCATTTTGCTCTTCTCTGCAAAATTCCTTTCCTAATCTGTGCGCCCTGTGGATAACTGATCTCAAACCTGAAGTTATTGTATGTGTGAAAAAGGTTCCATGGTCAGGAATCAACATCAGCTAATTTCTGATTCAGTCTTCTGTTAGCGATGGCCATTGATTCATATTGATTTATTCTTCTGTGTTGGTGGGGCTTTAGTGTTATTAGTATGGATGACACTTTTATTGAATGTAACTTTAATCGGTATATTACAGTTGCCCATTTTGGTACACATTTACTGTATACAATTGGGTTTGCTAGAGTATTTTGGGCTTGATCTCACTGGACTTGATCTCACTGCTTTCTTCTCAGGAGTCCAGAGTCATAAAGGCTTTACCAAGCAATGGGAAATACAGAGGTAGTTTCAGTCTACGCCCCTGTGCTACATGCAGTCAGAGTCTGTGGGCAGACTCAATAGATGTTTCTTGTGTCAGTCATTATCCAGGAGCACCAAACCTCTTAAAAATAATCAAAGACATAGAGCTTCGAGTAAAATGGCAGTGATTGTGGCAGTTGCTGGTTTCGTACAAAATTAGTTTTTTAAAGCTCAAGTAAAGTGTAGCAGTTTCCTTTAATCTTACAGACTGCAGTCTGTACTGAAATACAGAGCTCTCTTTTTGTGAACTGCTCAAGCAAGGCTTTTTGTATACATTATATGACTTTAAAAAAGGGTTAGGATGTTTCCACAAAGATCAGCCTGCAGAAAACCCAGTGAATCCCACTCACATTTTCTTTCAGTATGCTGTATTGTGTGTAAATGCTAAATACTTGAAATTTTGGAGCGTAATTTTTGTTTCTCTGATGTAAAAATGTAAACACACACCTCTCTTCCCAGGACTAGACCTGCCGTTCATGATGATGCCCCACCCCCTGCTTCCTGTCAGCCTACCTCCTGCATCTGTTGCCATGGCGATGAACCAGATGAACCACCTGAATACGATTGCAAACATGGCTGCAGCAGCTCAGATGCACAGTCCCCTGTCCAGAGCAGGAGCTTCAGTGATTAAGGTAAGAAAGGTTGCACCTCACCATAGCACAACAAGGCCAGTTGCTTTGACTTTTCTCCTTCACTGCCCACCAGAAAAATGAATTGACAATTGCATCAAAGTAATGGGAGTATGGTGGTATATTTTTTTACAATGTAGAGGTTGTTTTTTTTTTCCTAGCATTGCTTGTGTTAAAGAAAAGTACTGGCCGCTTTGAGCTTTAAAATGACGGAATCGCCGAGACGGTCTGTAAGGATGTTTTCCCGGAAATAAATGCTGATTTGCAAGGGCTCCACGTGAATCAGAAAGCAGCTTGATTGATTGAGTTCCTGAGGTCATTGTGGATTTCAGTGGGTGGACCAGAGCCATGACTGGGCAAGCAGTGGTTGTTGTTAGAAGACAACACCACATCACTCACTACCGCCATCCTCATGGCAGCAAGCAAAGATCAGAAATGAAAGTGGATCTCAGTTGAACATGATTTAAAACAGAAGCAGCTGAGTGAAGAGGGAATCGGATTTACAGGGGAATTTACAGTGTTACTGGCAAAGTGGGGGGTATTGTACACATTAGACACTGCCTTAAGGTAAATGCAGCTGTTGTACGCACTTAAAGCATGCAGTAGATGCCAATGACGATGGACAACCTGCCTTTTCTAACAGGCAGGTAAGAGAGAGGTGATAATTAGTACAGAGAACAATATTATATGAGAATTATTCTCCTCTGTTTCTTTCTCACCTCTACATTTTTTAGTGAACCATATACTGAACACCTGATTCCTCAGATGCTTTTATCACCATGACGAATGAGGTTGCACGTGGTGTATTTTTAGTGTAAATGCTCTATTGGTTGCAGAGATCTGCTCTAGTTAAACAATGACACCAGGCCTGCAGATGGTACTGTATGGGAGGTCTGGTTCTGTATACACACTGAGCTTACTTCTAAATGTGTTTGTTTTATCCTACATAGATATTAGAGCAGAAAAAGAAGACATTTTGTCCCTGGCTCTGTGGCATAGCAATACCTGCTAGCACTGTGAAAATAACATTATGGGCAAGTGCTTTAATTAGACTTGGTGCACACAGTAGGATTAATGATCAGCTCAGTCAATATGAGCGGTTACTAGTTCCCACAGAACACTCGATGTAGCATTCTTGATGTCAGCATTTTTTTACAATATTTATGTTACTTAGTCTATAAAGCATGAATGAGGGTAATGCAGTGTATTTAGCATTCTGTGCATATATATAAATATTTGTTTGTACCAGTTCATACAATTATGTTTTATTTCAATTGTTCATGTCATTTCTTATTGCATGATATATTTTTATGAATGTGCTCCAATGTTGTTCTTATCTTTTATATTCAATTACACAAGGTTTTGGAAAAGATCAATCAGTGGAAACCTGCAAACCATGTGGAAATACAGTAGTACAGCTGCAAATTAAAGGTGGATGGAAGGTCAGGTTGACTGCTGCTAAGAGCAGATGGAATACTAGAGAAAGCAAAAGATATCCACATGTTTAAATTGTATTAGCCCTAATTTCCATTAGCCCTGAATGGCCCAAAGATCTAATTCACTAGTGTTTTTGTTTCATCTATCATCTGTGACAGCATAGGATCACATCTGTTTTAGGTCACAGGTGAGGTTGCTAAATCCCAAGCAGACCCTTGAAATCTAGTAATCAAGAAGAAAAACTTTTTAGTCTCTGCCCGGCAGGTGCTTAGGACTGAATAACAGTGAGTGATCAAGGTCGGGCTAGAAATGTATAGGTAGAAGAAAAGCCTTTTTGGGACCTGCTGAGGCAATTCTGGACTAAAGCCAATGTCATTGTTCTGCACGTGCTGTGAGTGTTGAAGAATTGTAAACCTTTACTGGTTGTTAAGAAGTCCAATTAACCTTTTTTCCTTTTCTAAACCTCTATTCAAAATATGTGGAGTTGTTGAGATTCCTTATTAGATATGCTGGAGGTTGACTTTGTGCTGCATTCAGGAGCAGACAGCAGAAAATCAATGGCCTTCTATGGACAGCATGAGGCCCAGACACAAACACGCAGAAGACTACAAACACATCTTTGCTGAGAAAGACAAAAGAGCTCAGGTTGTTAATTAAGGGGGTTCTCATGGATATCAGATGTTAAGCTTGTGCCTAGAAAAAATATTCTCATTTTTTGATCCATTAATAGTAAAAGCCTTCTTCCAAAAAATAGATTATTACATTGTCTCTGAATAAATTAAATTTATGTTCAGGTTATACAGTAAGTCGTATGCTGTTTCCTGTATAATAAATATTATTTTCTTGTGTAATACTGGGCAGACTGGAGGAGATGAAGTCTCAGAAATTTTTATTTCAAACATTTCAAGCAAGCTTATTTTCAAATGTATTTTTAAGTATCACAACAGCAAGCCTCCTGTGTAAAAAATGGTTTTAATGCTGACTCAGACGTTCATAGATAGAGCCCCGTCATGTACTGTATTTAAAAAATGCATCAGTCTAGAGGGATTTTGAAAGCGAACAAGGATACAGTTTTTTTAAAAGGAATATTGAGTAATACCCTTACTGTCAATTTAATTCAAAAACATTAGTTTCAAGGACTGCTACATCACTTATCAAAATGCACGTGCCATGAGATGTTAAAATGTGGCTCATATTAGCTTTCGCAGCAGAGAGGAATAATGTTCAAGTTATTACTGACCTAATCTATAAATGTTAGCTGCGGTCTGAGCCTTGCATTAAGCTTTTTGCTAAACTGCTGAAAAGAACTGGCAGCCGTCAGTAATCCTGGGAATTACTGTATCTGTGCTCCCTTCTAATTGTGTTTGCGATGTGAAGGAGAAAAAGAGAATGTTTGCTAGCGCTAACATGGAGGAGTGAAAGGCTGTGGGTTCAAATCCAGGCAGAAGTTGTTTTTGATAAAAGCATCAGTCAAATTATTATTATTATTATTATTATTATTGGCAAAACATTCTACTGTTTGGAATTGGTGTAAATTGATTTATGAGTTTTCTAAATACATCATTCATGGACATTCCCACTTTCTGTGTTTCCAAAGGTTTGAAGCAGTTGTTACTAAAGAGCTTACCGTTAAAAACAAGCTGTGAATAGGCAGTATTGTAAAAAAAAGTACATGTACTTTTTTGCTCTTTTTTCCCAAGCCTCTGTCTTGTGCTTGTGCTAAGATCTGTTAATCTTAGAAAAGTACTCTTAAACAATAAAAAGAACTTGTTAAGGTTTCCCCACATTTGGTTTTACAATATCGTACAGTATGTTTTGTTACAGCAACCGGAGTGAAATATACAGTATGATATTACAGACTACTTTGTAGCAACTGGAAGTTCACTGCAGAAAAAAAACTAGTTTTATTACAGAAACTGCTCCAAATGGTGTCATAAACTATATACATGTTGGTTAGCTGTTAACTTTAAGAATTGGAAGAGCTTTCGAACATCAGACAAGCTTTATATACAGTATTCCTGTAATTTTATTCCAGTACAGTACTGGTTACTGTAAAGTCAGTAGCAGGAATTACTGAATTACTTCAGTGCAACCTGTAAGTAGAGATTGCACTCCGCTTAAAATTTCAATAAGGTAAGCACGGGGAGCTTCAAAGGAACAGACAGAAATCTGTAAATGACAGAAGTCATTTACACTGCAAAGTAAAATGAAAAGGTGTCCGGTTGCGGAACCGTCTTGTGGCTAAAAGCAGACTCTACAACTGGACATTCTGTTTTGTTGGATTTTGTGTTTTCTTCTTCCTTTGCTAAAACAGTGCAGCACTGTTCTTATTTGGGGTAATTAAGAGTCAGCAGTGTACTTGGACTACTGTCTAATCACGCTGCTGGTGGGTTCAGCAGTTTAGCAGTTGAGGAAGTAGGCCGCCTACCTGTAAAGTCTTTTTCAGTCTCCTGTGAGATGAAAAGCACCACATGAGTCATAAAAACTGTTTCTGAATGAATGAAGTACTTTTTTTTCTCGCTGGGTTTGTTACCGATGCTGTGCTGACTGGAATAAAGTGGTGCTGGGTGATGGGTAATGATTTTTTTCCCTCTTCCCGTCCGCAGGAGAGGGTACAGGACAGCCCTTCACCTTCCCCATCCCTGGAAGAGACCCCACGTCCTGGGAGCCACCCCTCCTCGCACCCCAGCAGCAGTGCCTCCAGTTCCCCCTCCCCACACGAGCACAACTCGGAGCGCCTGGGTAGGTCCCTCCCCAGCAGTGTTACTTACCAGTCTTTGTCAGTGTAACTCCATGGTCATTTTGCACACCTACAGTACCATGGTTAAATAGGCATTTGTTTTACAGTTCACTGAGTTTTCCCAGTCTTACTATGCTCACGGTAGGTTTTGCTTTGCCCATAATTAGGGTTTCTAGCTGTGAATACTAATTTCCAAATGCATTTCTCCCTTAAAACCTTAATTGGTGCTTTTTAAATGACCTCTGCTTCCTATATAGGAGAACAGATGTCAATGCCTCCTGGGTTTTGAAAGCTTCCTACAGTAAATGTCTATTTTTTACTTGTGACTTGTGAACTTTATCCATGCAACATAGATACCTGAAAACGCTAAAGTAATATTTCTCAACAGAAATTTATCTGAGTGGTAAATTTAACAGTGTCACAGAGATGAGGGGTATATTGTATAGGTTTCAAGCAGTACAACTTGGAGGGAATATGTTTGTTTTTTTCTGGTATAGACTACAGTTAAACATTCAAGTAAGAACCCTTCTTTTCTTTCCTCTTGGATTTTTAAGCATTTCTGCACACTCTGCAAATGCCATTTATACTCAAAATACACTTTTCCTCAGCAACCCACTGCCTCCTGATATCTGATCTCTCATTCAGATTTGAGCTCTTTACAAAACCCGATAGGATCTTTCAGCATGACACTTCTCATCTCAGGCTCACAGTAACAAGTAACATCCTGGGCTTGTGTGTGTGCGTGTGTGTCATTGACAGTGCTGAATAACCCCAGAGACGGAGAGATGGCTGATCGGGAAGCAGGCCTAAACATGAAGAAGATCCTGAAAGAGAAAGGTGATTTTCCAATCTGCCATTGTGTCATTGTGTCAGAAAGGCAGCAATAACAATTAAGAGGACAGGTGTACTGCGCACAATCATGTCACTCTAAGCCTAATGCTTTACTACCAGACATGAAGAAATCCTGTGAATACCTCATCCAGGATTGGTGAAACATTTAGAAATATTGGAAATATTAGGTAGTTGGGTTCGGCTTTGCCTCCTAAAGAGCTGTGATTGTTAACCAACATCATATTTTCCACTGTCAAAAAGGCTCAGTTGAACAATCAAGGAATTGTGAGTGTGTGGTTCTGCTGTGACTACATTTAAAATGTGGTGGTGAAATGTCTGTATGAATAATTAGTGTTTCACCATATGTACTGTATGTTTCTAATGGTCTACAGACTACATTGTTTGCCACACAATGTTAGAAAGCCATGGAACACAAGACATGGATTGAAAAATATGTTAAACTATCAATGATGAGAGCCCACACTTGATAATATTTAAAAATAAAAAATTACCTAGAGCACCAAACCTCATGAGATATAAAAACCCATTGGGTGAGTCAGTAAAAAGGGGGCAGGGGTGTCTTGAGCAGCCGTACTGCAATGCCTATGAAAATGGGGAACAAAGAAACCTAATATTTAAAGTCATTTAAAATCTAAACCATTAATCTGAATGGCAGTTTTCTCAGATCACAGGCCTCTGGCTTGGTGTCTTCTGAGCCTTTTCCCTGGGTGCATCAAGTTCCTATTATTGTAGAACACGATGCAATAAACCTCTCATTTATCACTGTCAAGCAGAATTAGGTTGTTTAGGAGGAAAACAGGTGCGAAACACGTGAAATGCAACACATGAGAATGGGAGAAACATGCAGCAAAAGCTCCAGATTTTGCAGCTAGAGGGTTAAATTACAACAATCTGGGCCTTCCATGCCTTCTATGCATGTGTTGGACATGAAGGCTATCCCCATGCTAACTTAAATTGCCTTGCCTGCAAAGAAGTTATTAAATGGATGTCTGTAATACTTACTACATTCTATTGCGGTGTCAATACCTTTTCCAGCAAGCATAATGAAAAGGCAGTTTCCTTGCCGTTATGTTAACACTGAAAATAACAACTTCATCCTGAAAGCACACAAATCAAAAGTGAATCTCTTAGCATCAACACTGCACTGGAGCTTCAGGTGTAATGTGGCTTGAGCTGTATAAGTGCTTTACCTCATCAGCTCACACAGTTTGTTTAGTAGCTGTGATGGTATTTCTAATCCAGAAATTTAACAAGATGTTGTCATTCAGGCTACAACATGTAAGTTTGCTTTTAAAGCTACATCAGGGGAAAATGTAAATTTCCCCTTAGTTCATTTTTCAAAGATAGTGCACAAAGGGCATTCTGAATTTCTTGGGGAATTTCTTGTTTTTCGACACCTTCACTCAGTGTTTAAGAACATTGTTGAACGTTTTTGCCTTTTTGTAAAGGGCACATTTTTCCAATGATTAGTGCAAAGCAGAATCCAGCAGTGGAGACAGTACCTGGAATGTGAGATTAAGCCAAGAAATTTGCATGGTGCTAAATCATCATTCCACTTCACCACCTGGGAAGAGAACAGAAGGAAACACATTACAAGTCTGATATGAAAAAGGACCAGACACAAATATGTTTCCTAGTGCACTGTAATGACAACTAAAGAATGGATCCACACATTTATCTCTTAATTTGCTCTGAATCTCTCCGTCTGTATGCTCTTAGTTTAGCGAGGCAGGAACTCCAAGGTTGTGGGTTAAAAATGTGGATAGAGCACAAATGCTGCTGACACTTGTACTGAAAATGCATGTGACTTTGCACACAAGATTTAGCTACATGTAGTTAAATTAAAAGTACAAAAGCACACGGCATTCTGATATCAAGAAAGAATGATGATGATTTGAATCTTTGTTTTTTAGAGTGATGAAAAGTTAACACTTGTAGGGCTTTACTAAACATTTCTTCCACATGAGCTGTACTATTGCTCATTGTGTTATGCAGTACATACATAAAAAATCACTATGGCAATATACTGTATTAGCATGTTCTTTTTGTATTATAACTAGTTTCTGGCCTTAGTTTTTAACATTAAAATTAAAAAAGAGCTTTATAAGATTGATGCTTTTAATTTATCTTTCTACCATATACTGTACATCCTGTTTTAGAATTTAGATTGTGTAAGTGTACTGTATGTATATATCATGTGGTGCTCGAAAACAATAATGCCTTTTGTTGCTTTTTGAAATTTTAGCAAATAGTACAGTTCTTTTTTTGCATAAAGGCTTGACAATTAGCTACAAAAAAGGATCCGCAGAATTTTTTGGGGGGCTTCTGTCTGAAAAGTACCACCTGTTTTTGAATGTTGCAGATAAGGGAGAAAGCTACACCTTAAAATCTGAAGGTATGCAATGTTGTCAGCCATACAGTATGTGCCATACACTCATCGGAAAGCACAAGAGCTAAAACAGAGAATTACGCTTTGAAATGGGAAGAATGTTTAGTCAAAATGGAAATACAATTGTCCAAGCAGAGGTAGCCTGTTAGCAGTGAGAAACAGCCAAACACAAGTGGTTCCTGCATGGCAGTCACACTGACTGCTCTGAGTACCATGACATGACGGTCTGGTGGGATTAGGTACCTAAATTTCCAGCCGGTTTTAAACCTGTCAAGGTCAAGCTAGAATTTGGTAGAAATTGGTAGAAATTGAAGTAACCAAA